TTTGGTATCAGACTCTTTATCTCTTAGTTTTTGTTCAAGCATGAAGTTCTGCTTGGCAAGCTCTATGATAACACTTCTAGTCCTCCCCTCCCATTATTTGTCAACCCACTTCACATAAATCGCGAGCAGTGGAATCCTACAAACTGCAGCAAACAAACAAATTATGTTACACTCATAAATATAGGGATTGTACAACAATCTAGAAGGAACAAAATTAACCTCGTAATTGCACCAAAAAAACTCCTCCCAAAGTCACTTCCTATGATGCACACACGAAGAAAAAGATCTAGCTTATATTTACACTAAACCTTGCGTCGCATAAACCTGACATTGCCACCGAATGCATACTCTGGGAGCACGTCATCGTCAACATCCTCGGGGAGCTCTTGGTCTTGAGGTGCTGGGGATGAGGCTAAATTACAGGCATCCCGCCAATACAACATAGACGTAGGCTCCCACTGTTTGTCATAACCACCCATTGTGCTACTAAGACAAAAGACAGATATAAACATATAAATTGTGTATAGCTTATTTACCTCGGGAAAAATATGGCTCGTTTGGCAAGTGAGAAACGATCTATATGGTGATAATATACATCGCCCTTCTTCATGTGCACAACATAGATGATCAACTCTAAGGCCATGTATTAAGTTTTTGCTAACACTTTTCTCTAAGTGCCGACATTTGACATACTCCGCCTACAAGCATGAAGATAAGCTCAGAAAATTGTGCGAGAACAAAAGTGACTCCTAGTTCTTCTAAACATGAAAGAACAAGGAGCCGTTGATGATTCATGTGGATGCTTTGAGGACTATTCATGTTAGCCCCCTATTTTCTTTCTTTCTTTCGGTTTTGATTTTTCTTATTTCAATAATTCGGGATTTTGAAATAGTTATTTAAAAAAATAGAATTTTGAAACAGTTCGTGGAGCAAAAAAGTCCCTTAATTCGAACGATGTTCGAGAATTTTAAAAATGTTTGTGATTTCAAAAAAATCACGATTTTAAAAAATGCTATTGAGTTTGGACATGATGAACATTTTTTGAGTTAGATGAACACTTTTTTTCATAAGATGGGTGATTTTTTTTAATTCGATGAAGAAAATTTGAATTTGATGAGCATTATAAGAAATCGATGAACAAATTTCTAATTTGATGATTTTTTTTGAAAACGAGGAACAAATTTTGAATTTTTATGAACATTTTGTGAAAACCCGAAGAACAAAAAAATGAATTCGACGAATCTTTTTCAATTGATGAGCATTTTTTTACATTGATGAACTTTTTTTGAATAGGATGAACAAAAAAAATGTTCACGAATTTGAAAAATAAAATTCACAAAAACAGAAGAGAAAATATAAAAGAAAAAGGGAAACCGAAAAAATAAAATGAAAAATGAAAAAGAAAAAGAGAAAACGAAAAAAGAAGAGAAGGAAAAAACGAAAGGAAAAAAAGGTTAAATGGGCCGGCCCATACAACATCGAGCGCGCCGGGGGAACACGCACCCTTGCTCGATGGCGCCCTACGCGCCCAGTAATTATGCGTTTTATTTGAAGGTGTGGTATGAATGAGTTTGGACCGTCCAATTTTTTTGGGATGGAACCATTCAATTCATGTGTTTGGCTTAATATAAGAGATGCTGAATTTTTTTGGGATGGAACCATTCAATTCATGTGTTTGGCTCAATTTAGATCGCGTGGTTAGAATGCATGCAAAGGGTGGCCATTTGATTTGACCGATTTCGTTGGGTGGAACGATTCAGCATCTTCAAGGCATATTCTCTTTTTTTGACTCGAACCATTCAAATGCTTTATAACCAAATATGTATATTTTTTGGATGATCCCAACCCATCTGTTTTTACCCTTGTAACCAAACGCACCCTAAGGAAGCACCATGCACCATAAGGTCCAGATATTCTCATTCTCACCCTCAAACAAAGAAAAAGGCGATATTCTCCTTGTATATGCTCTACTATATAGGTTGATGCTCTATGGACATCTCCAACACCGATCCTCAAACCGTTTGCATACATTCTAACCACGCGGTCTTGACGTGTTGTGTCATCCAACGTGGGCATGTATCTTTTCGCCGAATGATCCAGACATGGTTTTTTCTGCAAACCGGAGACGAAGTACCGGGGGGGGGGGCTTTGCGGGCATCCGAACCGCTGCCATGCCCACTACCTTGGCCCACAAAAAGTTCTCCTCCCCCGCCCGCATGTGTTCCGGCCCGACGCGAGCTGCCCACGTTCATGTTGTTGTAGAGCGGCCGTTCCACATTCTCGATGGCCCAGAGTGGACGCGATCTCTCACTGGCGCCATAATTGAAGCAGCGCGCCGGCCGAGAGAGCACCGCCCCGCTACACGCCTGGTGGAACACGCTTCCTTGCCGCATTCAACCGGCTTCAGACTGCCCTGCCTACTTCCATTGAACCCGCGCATGTGCCGAGAAACCTACTCCAACCACACGTCCATCCACTAGCCGTCCGACATTAAACACAACATCGGTTGGCTCCTCGCGTTCGCCCGCTATTTAAGCGAGGCCAGACGCGGAGCAAGAACCGCACCACACCTCTGCTCCCCATCTCCTCCTTGTACCATATCTGCACGCTCTGCATGGCATCCGGCGAGCAAGAAGAGGGGTTCTCTGTAATAAAAGCCGTCCGGATGGCTTGCCGAGCCTGCCTGATACAAGCTAGGCAACTTGCTGCTCAACCTCCCTCGCCGCCCCAGGCCATCACTACCATGGGCGAGGCTGCAGGTTGTCAAGCGGAGGAGCAAGCCGCTGCTCCAAACTGGCCGCCTGATGCAGCAACTCGCTACTCCAACCCAGCTGACAGAGGAGTGGCCAGTTGCTCCACACCGACACGCGGAGTGGCATTGTGGCACAGGCACCATGGACGCCGTCGCGTCGTCACGCTCCTCCCGCGCCATCCGCCGCAAACGTTGGCGTAACCGCGCCCTGCCAGCGGAGATGGCCAGCACGTCCGCAGCCGCCGTCGAGGAAAAGTAGACCATGGGAGGTCGCCGCCGCTTGGGTCCCACGATGGCCACCGCCACCGCGTCGCCGGCATACACACCGGTGTCTTGCCCGGTTCAGCGCATACCATCATCGACCCCGGAGCCACTCTTCCCCTCCGGCTGAAGCATGGCCACTTCGATGAGCGGCGCAACCAGGCATAGGGAGGATATGGCGGAGGCGGAGGTCACAGAGGGGAAATTATACCTCCAGAGTAGGACGAGCTCCGCTTTTAGTTGAAGTATGCCCAAAGTATAATGAATCTCATTCGGTTTATATGAAATACACCGTGTTCGCATGAATTTCATCTGATTAGTTCAAACAGTGGTTGAAATGTATGCGGAAAGCATTGGATGGCCAACACGTGCATCACTATCCATGGACTGATTCCCTATCCACGAATGGATGTCTGACAAAATATGCGGGTCACCATTGGAGATGCCCTAACCTCGGAGTCAATGTCTTACATACTCTTCACTGTTTTAGTTGTTTTCATCGCACCGAAGAGATTTTCGAACCTCCATTCAACGTGAGTCCAGACTCCTTACACAAAGATTCACAAGACTAAATGTACTAAATTGTCCTATAGGATTGAATCAAAGCACTCACACAATGCACGAGGAAGTCCTAATAGTAACCGAAGAATTATTAAATTTACTTGGGCTAAAATTAAGTGTCCGAGAATATTTTTAGAGACCGGAGAACCTCTTTGCACTAAGATAGTACTTGCATTGTCATGAAGCTCGGATATATACAACCACCATGGCAATTGCTGGTACAATGTCTGCACTTTTATCTCCATTTCCTGGTGTGTGGTGCAACATTGCCTAGCCGAGCGAGCAGAAGACACAAACTTCTTGTACCATCTACAAACACGTTTGTGATCCCATATTATGCTAGCTTTGCATATGCGCACATCTCCAACAATTTTAAATTCCTGGTACCTCCTAAACCTACAACACACTAAAATAAACCGTACAGTACTATTTTGGGCATTTTATTAGGACAGTATAACCGAGCCTAATCCGAGTTCTCTCACCCCCTCAGCGATTTTGGACGTCGGATTTCGTGTTTGAATCGTTTCTGGCCATCAGATCTTTGTTTCGGCACGAATTTACCGCGACTGGGCTACCTGTCCTAATGGGCCGCTACTCTGGGGACTTTTTTGCAGGCCTGTCATTGAGTGGGCTTCGTTGGCCCATGTCTAAACTCACGAAGCTACACAGCGATAGCCGATAGGTGCTTCACTGGGGACGCGGAGGAATTGATCACGAGCTGGAGTGGTCTCAGTATCTGTCCCCTCGAATATGGCCTCGTGATTCGTCTTAGCGCGCGCACGTGACAGGTGCTGGGCCCAACATCCGACGTGGAAAGTGCAAAGGAATGGATAAATTAGTCTGGACGGTGGGTCTGATTTGCTCGTACTTCCCAGGCCGGCATGGATTGACTTCAGATCCTTGGCTCGGATCATCGTGCGTGCTGCTAACGACGTGATTTAGCTGGAGTAAATGTAGGAATGGGTAGGTGGGGCGACCTCCTTCATACCTCGGCCACTCCCTGCCGCTATCGTCATACTGCAGTCTGCTCGCGGCGGCTGCACAGTATCCCGCCTCCGACGGCGATGGAGTTCTTGCTGCAGCCGTTCAACAGGTGCTATTCTTGCTCCTCCGTGTGAACTTGCTCACTCTCTGGTTGGATTTGGACTTGCTTTCGGATTCGGGTCAGGCGCTAGATCTAACTTTACCTCTGATTGATGTGTTCTTGCAGAAGGACTCTGATTGAGGAAGTGAATGACAGCGAGGTACCGACGGAGCCAGCCCGATATCCTGTTGTTCCCGTGCCGGCGTCGTCGTTGCCGGCGGCGAGTGCATCCAGCGCAGATGCGCGTATCTGTTCGCCGCCTCATGGAGCAACCGTAGAGCGGGATGACAGGCCGCAGGCATCTGAACACTCAATAGAGCAAGCTGATCCACAGGCTCCGGGATGGACAAGAAGGTATGTATGTCTAGCTTTATTAGAATTGTAAGTCTGAATATGGTAGCCAGTTAATTGGGTTCGTGCTACGATTAGTGGGTGGACTCATCTCCCTGGTGTAGGCTGGTCTACTGAAACCTATGCAAATGCCCATGCTTGCCGTAGATAACAGCAAATTAATCCACCAAAGGTGAAAAGATAGTATTCAGTTTGAACTTGGACCTGTAATCACTATAAACTCTGCAATTGCCCATGGATAACTATGCAATTGCCCATATTGTGCGCCCAGTGATATTCATCAGAATGTGAAATTATACCATTGGACAGCTGCATGGGCAAAACCATGAGACACACATATGGAGTAATTTTGTACATATATGATTTACTCATTGCGGTGTTTAAGAAGAATGCATTATGTTGGCTGATGTACACAGGGTCAGGGTTGGGGCTGCTGCACCAGGGCGTGCCCCCTGCCTGGATAGGATGACAGCACTTGAGAAATTGGTCAGAGTTTTTGCTGAAACTCCGGGTGAGAATGTAATTGTGCCGAAGATAGGGGTCAGCTTCGATACTCTTGGAGAAGCTTATGACTTTTACAATCTGTATTCGTGGGAGAAAGAGTTCGGCATTAGATATGGGAAAAGCAGGCTAAATGTTAACAGGGCGAAGTGCATGCAAGAGATAGTTTGTGGCTGTGCGGTATGGGTTCGATCTTTCAGCTTGTACTAATTTACTTATATATAGGAGATTCTTGATATGTCGTGAAGTATCTGACGTCGTGTATGCTTAATGATGTTCCAGGGGAAACCCATTGCCGAGAATACTCGATCCTGTCGATGTGAATGCCCTGCTCTAGTACGGGTGCTGCGGTCAAAAGATAATGGGTGGTATATATCAGAGCACCGGGATCAGCACAATCACTCGTTGTCACCTACGTACGGGCAGACTTTGCACTGGCCATCACACAAGCATATCGATGTATACAGCAGAGATTTGGTGAAGCAGCTGCGGGAAAATAATGTGAACCTGTCAAAAGTGTACAGCATCATAGGCAGTTTTTTTGGAAGATGGAAAATGTACGATTCACGAAGAGAGCATTGCGGAACTTGTGTGGAAAAATTGGGCGTGATCAGGCTGAAGATGATGTCCGCAAAACAATGGAGGTGTTTCAGGAGTTACGCGCTAAAGATCAACAGTTCACATACCGAGTACAAGCTGACAAGGACGGGAGGATAAGTACTCTTATGTGGGCTAATGGGAACAACAGATTGCAGCACACCTTTTTCGGAGATGTTGTGACTTTCGATACGACTTACATGACCAACCTGTACGACATGCCTTTCGGGCTGTTCGTTGGAGTGAACAACCACTTCCAGAGCATTATACTGGCTGGCGTGTTGGTGAGAGATGAGAAGGTGGAAACATTCGAATGGGTTTTCGCAGAGTTTGTCAGAATGATGGGTGGCAATGCACCGCAAACAATTCTAACAGGTCTGAAAAGAGTTGGTTAGGAGTATGAGCGTACAAAATATCGTAATGAATTGGTATACTGTTCGTGCGTGGATAACCCAGATGCTATACATTTTGTTTTGCAGACCAAAATCGGGCGATGGAGGTGGCCATACAGAACGTGATGCCAAATACGGCGCACCGGTGGTGCAAGTGGCATGTGCTGAAGAAGGCGAAAGAGTCATTGGGTCGATTGTACTCCAAAAAGAGTGATTTCCAAGCAGATTCACAAGGTCGTAAATCACATGCTGACAATTGATGACTTTGAAGAGGCCTGGAAGTATCTAATAGATAAATACAACTTGAAGTCACATGAGTACATGACTAATATATATGAGACGCGCCACAAGTGGGCAAAGCCGTACTTCAAGGGTGTGTTTTGTGCTAAAATGACTAGCACTCAGCGGAGTGAAGGCGCGAACCATATGTTGAAGAACTATATACCTCCAGGATGTCCTATGCATCTGTTTGTGAGAAAATACATGGTGCTGCAGTTCGACAGGGAAGCGGAGGAAAATTATGAGGAGAAGAGGACCCTAATTGTAAGAATGTACTTCTTCTGTGGTAGTTCAGACAAGTCATTATCATGTTTCTTTCTTATCTGATTTGTCCACCGTACACTTGTATTTTGCAGGGGCGACCATTGTTCCGAGCAAACATGGCCACTGAAAGGCATGCTGGCAAGATATACACTAGGGCAATGTTTGAGCAGTTTGGCCACATCATATATGAATGCGGTGCTTACCAGGTGGAAGAGGTTGAGAAAGGGAAAACATATGTGGCAATACATACGGACGCAACAAGGAGAGAGAGATGGTGTAGGGTTTCATACAAAGTGACCGTCATAGACGGTGGTGATGAATTTGATTGTGAGTGCGGGCAATTCTCCCACATGGGGATGCTGTGCAGCCATGTTCTAAAGGTACTGACTTATAGTTGTACCATATTTCATAATACAAACAAGCAACTCATGGGTTGAATTTTACTGACGTAGGTTCTCGACTTCATCCGAGTAATGGAGATACCACATAAGCATATTGTGAAGCGGTGGACAAGAGACGCACGGGGCATCCTGCCTCCGCATCTTAGTCAATACCAGAGGGACAATGCTAGCAGCAACAACCCATTCAGTTACAGGCATTTCAACATGTACATGCAGGCCATGGAGCTTGTAAGAATGGGGGATGCAAGTGTACAAGCATACGAGCGCCTCGTTGGACTGTTTAAGCATTGTGCTGAAGAAATGAAACCATTTGCGGAGATTAGAGACGGTCTTGGCCTGGAGGACCGCATGGCTGAAAATGGTACTGCTGTGATCCAAACAAATGGACATGGGGAACAGTTGGGGGTGAATGGAAAAATGACCGCAACTTTGCTTGGGGTGAACCAAACAAATGGACATGCGGAGGAGTCGGGGGTGAATGGAAAAATGACTGCAGCTAGGCTGGACGATGAAATCAACTCATGTAATGAATCGGGGAATGTCTTGGCGGGTTTACTGTCATCGCTGGAATTTCCACCTGGATAGACCAGTCCACCCGCACTCATCACAAGAAGGACTTGCGGTCCAGATACCGAGAGCACTGCAGCTTGTGATCACATCAGCACTTTCGTATAATATTCAGTTTTCTCCAACAAATTTTACAAGTAGAACTGATTGCATGATGGGGAAAAATTAATATGATCAATGTCCACACCGAATAAAATTGCATGCCCTGGAATAGTTACAAAACAGACAAGGAAGCAGAATATGGGAAAATGGGCAAAGATGATTCTATTTTTTGGACCAATATTCATTTTGAACTTGCAAAAACAGGAAGCTATCGATTTGAACTCTTAACTAATGTAAGATCTTAGACTCACTACTGAAAACCAAATGTTGTCATAATTGAGAACTTGAGATCCTTACTGAAAACAAAATCAATTTAGACTCAGTACTGAGAACACTGCAAAGTAGTTGGATCGAAAGAGTAGGTGCCATGTGGATTTATCAAAGCTAGTTGGACATTTCTCTTCCTGATATCCGGATGTCGATGCATAGTACAGGAAAATCAGAGCAGGAGTCCCGACAGTTCAATTGTTCACAAGTTTCGCTGCGTCAGATATGATGGCATCAACTTTTGCATATAGATGGATAGATACAGATTCAGAAAACTCAACAGCTCTAGAATTACTAAAAGTGTTCGACCAATGGCTGAACAATTTTGCAGTGATGCTGGATTGCCACGGCTTCGTAGGCAGAGCATTTCACTGTAGGGGGGGTATACTTGCAATGAGTTGATGGTCCTGCAATTTTTTTGGATGATGCATTTCTCATAACTGGAAAATGCAGTAGCTTTTGCAGTGAGTGAAATGCTCCCGAAAATTAGTGACTAATCCAAAATGAAAAAAAAAACCAGGCAGCTAGTTCACATCCATTGATTTGAACTTGCAAAAACAGGCATCTATTGATTTGAACTCTTAACTACAGTAAGATCTTAGACTCACTACTGAAAACCAAATTCAGTGAAATTACACTCCACAAAATTCTTGTCTCTGCATGTTGGCATGTTGCATGCTTGCCTGCTTGTGACGGCTTGATGAAGAATGGATGGATGCTTGGATGAATCTAAAGCAGGCTCTCAAGAACTGCACCGAGGACCACGACGGCGAGGAGGCGCACGCGGCCGTGGGGACTGGGTTGGGTCATGGGCAGACGGGGGCGGGGGCCAGTGTCTTGGACCAGTCGGGGAGGCGGCGGCGCTTGGCGGACTCGGCGGCGTACGTGGCCTTGATGGCCTGGAGCTCCGCCTTGGCCTCGGCGTCTCGGCGGTGTGCGCTTGGAGAGGTGGTCTACGCCGCGCAGGGGTAGCTCCGGCTCGCCGCCCTCGGGGAAGTACGCCGTCGGATAACAGATCGAAAAAAAAATCAAGCCTTCCTTCTCCTCGCCGTGATTCGCCATGGGGAACAAGGAGGGGGAAGCAACGCGGCGGCGGCGTGGAGAGAAGGAGCTCCGGCAACGCGCGTGAGAGCTTTGCGGGGAGCGGAGGAGGGGAGCTCTGGCTCGGGGAAGACGAGCAGAGGAGCTCTGGCTCGGGGGAGACGAGCGGGTTCTGTCGGGACTTTGCAGAGGGTTTTTTTTTTTTTTGCAAAATGGTACCGGAGACAACTTTTTCCGGACGGAGGGAGTACCGAGCAATTCTGAACTCACAACATGCACCATTGCAATGCAAGGGTTTGCTGCTTTGGTTCACGATGACATGATTGATTGGTCCGCTTGACACCCCCTCTATATAAATCCCCTGCCTATAAGATAGTGTACTTTCACTTGGAAGAAAAATTACTTCCTCCGATCCATATACTAATTGTGGCAGCTTTAGTACAATTAATTTGGATTGAAGGGGGTACATCAGCCAGTGAATCAAGAAACATAAGCGTCATACATTAAGACAACAAATGCATAGATTGAAGAGAATACATACAAATGCATGTTGTAGTATTCGATAGCAGAGGGGCAGCTTTGCCAAGCAAGATCACAGATAGGCGGCACAAAAAAGACAGCCATGAGAATGGCACTGTAGTGGGACATAGCATACCAAAACAATTTGCCAGAGAGAGAAAAACAGACAAGAGACGTAAGAATGAAGGTCATTCTGCGCATCACAAGCACACGCTGTGCAACAGCAATTTTAGTTAGACCAGGAACAAAAATACAAAACTCCAAGCATAAAAAACATTTTACTTGTCGATTAGATCTGGAGAAAGTAGTCAACACAATAGCAAAACATATGCTCCATAGTCCATAGGGTTATAACCAGAATATTAAAGATAATACATTCTTCTTGTGAGAAGTTCTGGCACAACATTCTAAACATAACGGTGATATCATCAGATTAGAAGAGAGATGTTCCCTTGCCCTTCTTGTCTCCACCGATTTCAAAGTGCTTGCACCTCTGTAGCAACCAAGAAACTATGGTGTCAGATACTTAAACATAACAGAACATAGCAAGGAAATGGTATGGCAGATAAGAGGGATGTGCGGACCTTGATGGCACGCTGTGAGTAATGCTTGCAGCTCTGGCACTGCAGCTTCAGCACAATCTTCTTTGTTGTCTTGGCCTGAATCAAACAGAATAATAAACATCCAGATGCAAAGAAGCAACAGAAGAGGAAAGGCCAACATTTCCAAAGTAACTTGAGTTGTACATCAAAGAAGATATATGCCCCCAGAAATGAGTAAC